TGCTATTCATTTTTCATTTTGTCCGGGGAGATGGCTCAGTGGAATAAGTGCTTCCCTGGCAAGCGCAAGGACCTGAGTTTAATCCCTGGTTCTGCCAAAAAAAAAAAAAAAAAAAAAAGAATTCATTCATTTTTCATTTCATTATGATCTGATAACCATGGGGTAATTTGACTTTTCCATTTATGTAAGCATGCTTAGTGGGTAGTTATGGTGTACTTTGGAGCGTTATGTGCTACTGAGAAGGGTGTGTATTCTGTTGGAGCACTGTAGATAAATATTAAGTACATTTGCTAAAAGGTTTGGTTCAACTCTGGTATTTCTTTGTTGAGTTTTTGTCTAGTTGATCTATTTGTGACAGTGGGCTATTGAGGTCTTTTACTATTGGTGTTGGTGTTTATCTCATTTTTTATGACTGTTAGTGTTTGTTTTATGAAGTTGGGCATGCCAGCATTTGGAGCATATATATTTGTAATTGTTATCTCTTCCTGTTGAATTGGTAGTGACATTTTTTGTCTATTTTGATCATTATTAGCTTAAAGTTTACTTTGTCTGAAATCTGGATAGCTATTGCTGGTTTTTTTCTAGGTCCTTGTTGCATGGACTATTGTTTTCCATCAAAATATTGTTTTGATTTTTAATCTTTGAAGTTCCTTTTGAAGTAAGTATGTTTTTTAATATACTGGATATTGTATTTTGTTTCATAATCCACTGCGCCAGTCTGTGTATTTTGACTGGGGACTTGAAGCATTCACATTGAGAGTCATTCTGAGAGATACTGAACTATTGCTGTCATGTATTGCTTTTCTGTTGCTGATTTTCTTTTTTTATTTTCCCTTTTGCTTGGCTGCTCATCCCACCATGTGTAGTGATTCTTTCTGAGTTATTGGCATTGTTGGCTTTATTGTCTGTCTTTAGGATATCCTTGAAAAATTTTTTGTGGTATTGGTTTTGTGGTCATGAATTTCTTGAGGTGTTCTTTATCATGGAAATACCTTATCTGTCCATCAAGTTTAGAGGAATATATAAGTAATGGTAGGGATTTGTTATCTTTTATGGCTTGTAACACTTTGCTCCAAACCCTCCTGGCTTCAAACATTTATGTAGAGATGTCTACTGTAATTCTAGTGGGTTTAACTTTATGTATGATTTGTTGCCTTTTTCCAAGCTTTAAGACTTTGTCTCTGTGATGGACTCCAGTACTGTAAGTATTATATGATACAGAGATGATACAGAGAACCGTCTCCTAGTCATGACTGTTTGGGGTTCTAGATGCCTCATTTATCTGTATGTTTATTTTTTCCCTATACCTGGGGTGGTTTTTTTTTAACATTATTCCTGTGAACAGGTTTTTTATGCCATTTGAGTTGTCCTCTGATTTTTTTTTTTTTCCAAAACCGGGGATTGATCTCAGACCCTTGTGCTTTCCAGGAAAGCACTTATTCTACTGAGCCATCTCCCTGGCCCCTGTCTTCTGATTTTTTACTTAATCCAGTTACTGTTAGATTAGCCTGCTTTGCATCATTCAGTAGCTTTTGGGTCCAGTTTTCATGTTCTCTTATTGCCATAAAGGTGTCTTTGAGTAGTTGGTCTTAGAAGGCATCATTAATTTCTAGTTCTGAATTTCTGGCCCCACACGGATCACTTCTGCTGCCCATACTTTGTATATAATTTCTACTCCCATGGATTTCAGATTGAAACCTTTCCATGAACTCTAATTCTACTATCCATTTAGTTATATCTTGTGTGATCCTCCTGAGTATCTTGATCTGTGTTCTGACCTCCTCTGTTACCTTTCTGAGTAATTTGGGAATATGATTTATGTTGTTCTCCTCCTTAGTGTCCCTGGATTTGCTTCAGGGAAGTTAGGAGTTGTAGGAGGCATCTTGTTGCCTGTCTGAATTTTTCTATTATTTTGCACTGAGGTTTGTGGCCCCTTTATGACTTTGTTGCTAGTATAGAACTCTCCTCAATCACCTCTCAGTTATGAACTTTGGGCATGGCTAGTTTTAGTTCTTCGTTTCATCTCAAAAATCCAGCCACTTCTGTTAAATTTGAGGCTCTAATATTGGTAAATGTCACAAAGGTAATCTGAGCATTGGCTTACAGGAAAGCTCATTAAAGCAACAATTGTCTGACCCTGGTAATATCAAGCAGATCAGCTTTAGTACTATCATCCAAGGTAAGTTGGGTATTGACATGCCATCAGAACCAGTCATTGGGCTGGCCAGATAGCTCAGCGGATTAAAGCGCCTGCTTAGGCAGATGCAGGGACTGGGATTCAATCCCCAGCATGTTGTGCCAGCCCCCTATAGTGAGACCCTGCACTAAATGCATAAAAAAAAAAAGAGAACAGTCATGTACCACCCTTACCCCTAGAAAAAAATCCACAATTACTGTGGATTTTTTTTCTAAACATTAAGACAACTCAGATAGTGACTTGTAGCCGATATGTATCAAATGTGCAGCTATATTTCTGCTAATGGCAGGAAAGGATTCGACAATAATTCCATAGAGTTAACTATCCAAAAATTAATAAAGCTTTATACTTATACTATTAAAGGTATAGGAGTTGAGAATAGAGAATGTAAGAAAAAAAATTGAAACCTTAAGCTGTGAAGAGGAGAGAGAAGTTGTATAAAGCATCTTGAAGTAGAAGGCTGCTTACAGAATTAGGTAAAGGAAACAGAAGTTCTTTAGAAACAGAAGATAAAAGAAAATGGGAGAATAAAATAAATTGTTTGAGAAATAAAATAAGAGAAAAAATTAAAAGGGAGAAGAGGAAAAATAGAGAAAAAAGAAGAAAAAGAGATAAGAAGCAGGAAAAGAGGATAAGGAAAAAGTCCCTAAATCCTGGTAAACTAGTAAAGAAAAAAGGGAAAGGAAAGAAGAAAGTGAAAACAACACAGACACAAAGAAGAAAATAAATTTCTCTGTGATTTTTGTCTTAAGACAGTATGACTATGTAGTTCTGGGTTGCCTTAAACTTACTTTGTAGCCCAGGCTGGTCTCTGACTTGCAGCCATCTTCCTGCTTCAGCCTCCAAGTGCTGGGATTATAGGCATGTGCCACCACACCTGGCATCTGTGATTTAGAATGTATGGACATTTTCTGGCATCTACAGTGTTGGGTAGTGTTCAAATCAGGATGTGTCTCTGCTCACACTGGTAGCTAATGTAGGCAGTCAGACCCCAGATCCATGTCAGATGCTGTACGAGGTGGTCACCATTGGAATGTAGTGCTGGGAGCCTTGAACTTCAGCTACCCTGCAGCTTCTCTGAGTTGTGGGATCAGTCGACTTCCTGGAATGGCATCTAACCAAGCAGTCTCTCCAGGCATGTGGCAGACATTGGGCTGGAGCCCCTCACCAATTGTTGGCTAGGTCTGAGACCCAGTTCACATCTTTTTAACAGGATCCTTTGTAGAGTGAGAGTTTTATTTTTAATGAAGTCAAATTTTCTATTTTTCTTTTCTGGAGTGTGCTTTTGCCATTAAATGTAAGAACTCTTTGCCTAGTCCTAGATCTTGAGGATTTTCGTATAGGTTTGTCTACAAGTTCTACAGTTCAGTGTTTTATGCTTACGCTTGTGAACCATTTGCAGAGATTTTGAATACACTATACGGCCATGCAGAGAGGGTCCTTTTGGCCTGATGCTGTTATTGCAGGGCTGTCTCCTGCTTTATCAGGGTGCTGTGTGGGTTGCTTCTGAGTGCCCTGCTCTACCCTTGGCATACTTTTTGTCACCTGTCTCCAATGCCACACTGCCCTGGTGGTGGCTGTGCCCAGATCAGTGCCTATTGGACTCTGCTTCCCCAGATCACTCAGCATTGTTGTTGCCTCATGTTGGCATCTGTTGACTTTCCCTTTATCCTTTTGAGCATGTCTGGTTCTTGGCATGACTGGTGGCATTTTCTTGGAACTTCTTTTTATCATACCCTGAGCCTCGAGGTGGAGCCTTTTTCTCAGCTGACCTGTGCTGCAGAGACAGAAACATGGCCTTGCTGTATGGAGCACATCCAGCCCCTGTGTTCACTGCTTCCACCAGGCCCCCAGTGCCAGCAGAGGGAGGCTGCTCCTGCCAACTGGCAGGGTCACCCGGGACCTGTGTTGTGGTGTGGGGCAGTGCTGGAGAGAATGAAGCAGCTCTGAACTCTGTGGAAGCTCTGTCTAGCAGCATTTACACTTGAGTTCCTCAGATGCAGCTTCACATTAGCTGTAGGTTCTGTTATTGTTCAGCTTGGCTCATAATAGGCTCTCAGAAAACATGTAAAGTAATTAATAAATATAAAACAGCAATGTTTTTAAAACTATCCAGGAAGCTTTCCCAAATAAAGGATTCTACATAGAAACACAGTATACTTGCTAACAGTATAGTGAGATTCATAGCTAACAAACGATCATCCTGAAATCTGCATATTTCACATATGTGATATATGAAATAGATGAGATCTATGTATGTCTTAGTACATTTGATTACCATTTCTCTAAAAGCAGTGAATTTTTTAACATTTATAAACTAAGTTTACTTTATATGAAGTGGTATGTGGTTTGCAAATTTGTAATTCTTTTTCCTCAATTACAGTTTCATGAGTTTCTTTTTTATAGATTGTTAGTAGAGTCTTGCAGAGTATATCAGAAATATTAAGGAAGAGGAAACCCTTAAGTTTCTTAATAATTAGGCCATAGGAATTATTGTTCTTTGCAAATTTCCTGTGATTCTCTTGCCAGCCAGGTGGTAAATTGCGCATGGCTGGGAAGTAGGGTTGGATTTTACCAGTGACTTGTGTTTAGCCTCACCTGTGAGGTGCTCTTTGGATAAAGAGGTATAAGCTGAATTACAGGGGCATTTATTCTTGATACGTGACTTTCGCTCATAATCCAAACCACAGGTTGTTCTTGTTTCACAATTTTTTTTTTCCTTTCATTTTCAGGGATGTTGTGACCACTTTGTGGGACAGACTCACCTCATTTCACTAACTCTTTTTTTTCTTGCTTCTTTCAGACAGGAACCGTCTCTGCCAGTCAGGAAACCCCCACAAGTACTTTGCCATGGAGGCAGAAGATGAAGAGAGCATGAGTAAGACCTAGGCCTGCCACGTATTCCCTCATAGCTCATTTCCTAGTCACAGTTTAGCATTTTGTAAACTTGATTAGTGAGATGAATTGGGGAACCGGATGTTGCCTTTGCTCTGGGCTGTTGGCAGTTGTGTGTTTTTATAGATTCTGTACAGCAGGTATCAGCATTTACCATGGACATTTTCCCTGAAGCACCTGTCTAGATTTCCCATTCCTCGTCACCATGGGCCATCTTTTTATTGTGGAAACATCCTCTAGGTACATGTCCTGTAGTTCTGCGTGGTTTCTCATGACGTCGTGTGGCAGCCTTTGAGATGGACTCAGACACCTGTTGTTGGGCAGTGGTACACACAGCTCCTGGAGATGCGCAGCCCTCCCAAGTTTGGAGAAGAGGTCTCCTATGTCTTTGGTTTCTGCAGACCCTACAAGAGTTGGGGCTGGTATGGACCAACTCCCAACCCTTCTATGGTCCATTCTGCCTGTCTGGGGCTGTGGGAAGGCCTCGGGCAGCACCACACTCTCAGTGTTGCTTGACTTCTGGAAAGCTCAGTAATGACACCTCTCACTTCTACTTTGCCCTCAGTTCCAGAGGGCAGCAGGTGCCCAAGGAAGGTCAGCTGCTCCATGGAAGGGGGACACCTATCGCAAGGGGCTGCCTGGAGGACAGTCTGCTCACTGGCATATGCACCTTACCTGTCTCGAGCAAGAACATGTCTCGTCCAAACCCTGCTGAATGGGAGTGGTCCCAACATCAGAGCCTAGCTCAGCGCACTCTCTAGGACACATGCACAGTGCAGCCATGGACGTAGGCCCGCTCCTGACTGTCCCAGAGTGCTGCCAGCCCAAGGTGCCTGCAGACAGTGCCCTGGCTCACTGTGGCCACTGTGAACCTGCTTGCAGGGCATTACAAATGTTCCCACTGCTGATCTTGGCCTTGGATGGCATGGACCATGCTGGCCCAGGGTGCACAGCTCTGCCGATGTGTGCACCGCCTGTGGCTGCAGCAGTGTACCTGTCTTCCTCATCATCCTGCTCTTGAGATATTTTACAGATCTAGCTGGGGCTGTTTGCTGAGCATTCCACCTGCCGTTTCCAATTTTGCTGCCACTTTTAAGAGTGAGAATAAACTCCCATTTTAGAGAGCAGGCTTTGTGCTGCGCCATAGCCATGCGCCTCTCCCCAGGGTCCTCCGAGCTACCTGGCAACTATGGATTGGCCCCCACCTCTGAGCCTGGAGACTTAACCCTATGAAGGCCCTCCTAAGGAATTTTCTGAAAAGAAAAGCTGCTCAGTGTTGTGCCTAAACTGAAATGCCAGGCCTATGTTTTCTCTCATTTTGAGAGCAATTAGAAGTTTCATCATGGTTAACATTCATTTTCCTGAAATGTAGTGCTTTGATGTGCTGAGTGAAACCCTATGCTTTAGAAGGGCTGTGAGAGCAGCGCCTCCTTCTCTAATTTTAGCATTTTCTTCTCATTTACTTAATAGCATCTTTAACAGAACGTGAGTGGTCCTTTTGAAGTACATGAGTTCGGAATTGTTGTACTATGTCGTAATAGTGTACTTTTTTCTCATTGCAAGAATATTTGCCAATTTCAATGCTGGTTATCATTATGTCTGAAAAGAAAAAAATGGTTATTTCATAGGCTATAAATACTTGATTAGATGCATGTCAGAATATGCTTATGATTTGATTCCCTATGTTGATAATTCTGCATAGCTGTGACAGTGAACTATAAGTGGTGTCTGGTGTGTGATGGTCTCTCTCCCTCCACTAACCTCTTTATTTTGTCTTGGCTCTACTTTCCTAAACCTTTGTTCCCTCGAGCACCGAAAGGAGTAACCTACCGGCCTTTTGCTGGAGGATGTTATAAATGAAAATTTAGCAAACATTCCGTCGCTTTGTGAACCAAGGGAAGTGGTGTGTGTGTCAGGTGTTCTGGAGGTCAGGAGTTGTGAGAAGTCCCCTGGTGGGTCTAATCTCCCAAGGGCTGTGTGTAGACTGAGCTCCTTTGCTCTCTGAGCAGAAGAGCCCCAGCCCTGGACATTTATAGCTTGCTGTCAGTGATTTGTGATAGCCAGGGCCACACTGACAAATGTTTTCAGTTTGCTCAGCATTATGAGAAACTTCTTTTATGTTATATAGTGGAAACTGACCCCAAGCTTTCATATTGAGGTGCTTGTTTACAATTTTAAAAGTTTCTTGATTATTTAAAAAATGTGGATTTTTTTTTTTAAATGTATTTGGTACAGGGTCTCACTATGCAGCTTGGACTCATAGTGATCCTCCTATTTTCAGCCTTCCCAGCCCTGGGATTACAGGTATGTGCCACCGTGCCCAGACTCAGTCATAGGCTCAGCATGCCTGGAGGTGGGGCTGGCACACTATGTGGTCCTGGGGATCAAACCTGTGCTTGTCTAAGCAGGCGCTTAGTCTGCTGAGCCTTCTTGCCAGCTGAGATGTGGATTTTTGGAAGCTACTGGTAGTAGGCCTTTAATTACCTAAATATCAACAACATTGCAAAGAATTAAGCCAGGTGATCTATAAAACTATAAGAAGGAATGATTTTTTTTTTTCCTGTAAAAAAGTGTAGTAACTTGAAAGCAGGTGTGAATATTTTAAAATTTTTTCCCCTTTAAAATCACAATCATGTTTATTTTGCCATATACTTTTAGAATCCTGAAATTGTGTTTACTGATTTTAAACATAAGGTGGAAAAAACAAATTACTCAATAAATGCACAAATTAATTGATTTTTTAAAAAGACAAAATTATTAGGTATATTTATGCATTTAGGAAATTCAAGTCAGCTTGCAGCTTTGACTTGATGTTTTGTTCTTTTTTTTTTTATCATGGAACATAGTAAAGATTCTGAGACAGTAACAGTCCCCATATATAACAAAAATTTTAAATAAATACCAGAAATAAAGCTGTAGCCCCCAGAAAGAATTTATAAAAAGTCATAATATTCTCTACAATGATAAGCAATTTTGTGTAGTCATTTCATATACTACATCAAATAACAGCCTGGACTGTTTGGACATTCTAACCCTGAGGGCCTGGTTAGCTTGAGTGGTTAGGGACTGTGCCTGCTCTACTGAGAGGTGTACAGGGGAAGCCCTCAGACATTGTGTGCCAGTGGCCTTGCGCCGCCCAGGGAGTGAGGAGCACAGCACACTGAGGAGTGTGTTTGTCCGTTCATCTGTCCATGCACTGATGGACCGTACTGCATTTCATCAGATGTAGTGTAAGTTCTTCTGGATTCTTACCACTTAGCAAGCACTTTGACAAGCCTGAGGGAAGTACTGGCAACATTAGAATATTCTCAGTAGAAAAATCATTGAACATTTTTACTTTTCTTTGTGTGAGACAGGGTCTCACTATGCAGTTTAGGCTGGCCTTTAACTGACTTTGTATCCCAGGCTAGCTTCAAATTCTTAACGGTCCTCCTGCCTCAGCCTCCCAAGTGCTGGGATTACAGGCATGCGCCACCATGCCTGGCTTTTTCTTTTTGGCCATACTAGGGATTGATTAAAACCAGGGCCTTTGCACTGTGTGCTATTTTTGGTTTTTATTTTGAGACAGGGTTTCATAAGTTGCTAAGATGCCCAAGCTAGGTTGGTAGTTGCTCTCGTCCTGCTTTGGCCTCCCAGAGTGCTGGGATTATAGGTGTGTGTACCACACCTGGCTTAAGACTTATACTTGTTAATGCAGATATCAGTGGTGAACTGACTAGAAGAGGCATTAGCCTTTATTAGCCTTTATTCAGCATCCTCCCAGCTGAGGCTGACTGTTCTCTGGCCGCATGTGCAGTTCCTCCAGTTTGCTATTCACACACACACACACCACTGAAGTGGTCACAAAGAGGTAAAGGAATCTATAAATTTTGCATTTACAAGATCCTGCAACGAAGGCGTTGTAAGTTACTCTTTCTGGGCACCACAGGTTCCAGCAGCGCAGATGTTAAAGAAAACCGCAATCTGGGCAACATGTCCCCCAGGGACAGTGGCACACCTGGGCCCGGCGAGGGCACTCCACTCTCCAATGGGGGTGGTGGCGGAAGTGGCAGGAAGCGGCCACTGGAGGAGGGCAACAACGGCCATGCAAGGTACCGCCTGAAGAAGCGGAGGAAGATGCCAGGGCCCGTGCTGCCTAAGAACGCACTGATGCAGCTGAACGAGATCAAGCCAGGGCTGCAGTACACGCTGCTGTCACAGACGGGGCCTGTGCATGCCCCACGCTTTGTCATGTCTGTGGAGGTCAACGGGCAGGTGTTTGAGGGCTCAGGTCCCACCAAGAAGAAGGCCAAACTGCATGCAGCCGAGAAGGCCCTGCGCTCCTTTGTGCAGTTTCCCAATGCCTCCGAGGCCCACCTGGCCATGGGCAGGACCCTGTCAGTGAACACAGACTTCACATCCGACCAGGCTGACTTCCCAGACACGCTCTTCAATGGTTTTGAGACACCTGACAAGTCAGAGCCGCCTTTCTATGTGGGCTCCAATGGTGATGACTCCTTTAGCTCCAGCGGGGACATCAGCCTGTCAGCCTCACCAGTGCCTGCCAGCCTGGCCCAGCCACCGCTGCCCGTGCCACCTCCCTTCCCACCGCCAAGTGGGAAGAACCCGGTGATGATCTTGAATGAGCTGCGTCCAGGGCTCAAGTATGATTTCCTGTCTGAGAGTGGTGAGAGCCATGCCAAGAGTTTCGTCATGTCGGTGGTCGTGGACGGCCAGTTCTTTGAGGGCTCGGGGAGGAACAAGAAACTGGCCAAGGCCCGAGCTGCCCAGTCTGCCTTGGCCACCATCTTCAACTTGCACTTGGACCAGACACCGTCTCGCCAGCCTGTGCTCAGTGAGGGCCTGCAGCTGCACTTGCCACAGGTGAGGAGGCCACACATCCCAGCTCCTAGGCACAATCAGTGACAGCTGCCATATTCTTCCCTTCTTACCCCCATTAGCAGGGTGGTTGCCACTCTGTCTGATGTGGGGTGGCCTCGCCTGGGCTCTGTGGTCACATGGCACAGGGACCCTTAACCTGCTGGAAGAATCTATCAGGAATAGGGCTCTAGGGCCAGAGCACTGTTTCCTGTTATCATCTCTACAAGTTCTCACATGTTCAGGGCTGCTGGAAACCCAGTGGGCTAAAGTGCCTGGCCTCACCCTTCAGGCTGGCTGGTGGCTGCATTCCCAGAGTGCAGAACAAGAGCTCTGAGCAGTAGGGTACATGAGCCTGGGGCATGGAGATGGGCTCCTCCTGTGTGGGGGTACTCTGTAGCCTGCCAGCTACTTTGAGGTCTCTGCTCCCTGAATCTTTTGCCTGGCATCCATGTGGGCCCCCCTGCTTTGGCTGGATGAGGGAAGCCACTCTGAAGTTTGTTCCCACCCTGTCACATCCTCGTCCCCTCAAGTTGAGGTAAAGCAAGGAGGAATCTCAGGGAGAAGGGCTTTCAGTCCTATTGCTCAGCGAGCTTGGGTCTTGCTTCTCTTCTTGGAAACCCAATTTCGTGGGGGTTATGTGAAAGCTATTCTTCTGCCATCTTGCGTGTTAGTTCCTTTCTGCCAGGTGCTGTTCAGTGTAGAGGTGATGTACTCCACATCTGACGTGGCAATATGGAGGACTCAGATGTGATGGACAGGAAGCCGTGTGATCCCCAGGGTTCTCTCTTTTGCCTTTGATGCAGCTTGAAGAATCTCCACAGTTTGGAGCCTTAGGTGCCCAGTTGTTCACAGTTTTTGAAAAGAGTATGTTTCACCTGCTGCAAGCAAACACAACACATGTAAAACATGATCCATCCACTTTGTTCCTGGTTCTTCATAGGCCATGTACTTCTTCCTTGGTTGATTCCTTGCACTGTTCCTGGGAGCCACTCTTCCAAAGTGTATCACTTCACAGAGCAATAGCCTTGGATCTGGTGATGTTTAATTCCCAGGCTTTCTGCTGGTAGAGCAGCCCAGCCTTCTGCTGTGACTCATCTTTCCCTATCATAATGTCCTTCCCATTGGCAGGGTGTCCAGGACTGTTGGAATCACTGTGTGCTGTGCAAGGTGAGCAGCTCAGGGGCAGCAGATAGAGGTTCCCAGAAAGTGTGTGGGTGCTCATTTGGCTCACTGACCTCAGGAAGGGACCAGTCTCCTGCCCAGGGTAGTGACTATATCTGTTGAGATCCAGGTCCCCTCAGCCTATCCTGACATCACTGACCTCCCAGTTCTGCACCTCTGTATTACAGAATCCCAGGGCAGTGGAGCTGTGCTCACCTGCTCTATGTGGAAGCCCCAGGGTACTCAGATGTGACAGTTTCTCCTTAGGGGACCTGGTGGTAGCCTCGCTTAGTGCATTCCCAGTGGCTGTATCACTGGGTTCTGCTGTCTTTGATGGGAAGTTTCAGATGTGCTGCTCAGGCAGATGTAGATCCTTGCTGCTCCTTCAGGGAACCTCAAAGGAGGCAGGTCTACCATCCTTCTGTTCTGCTGGACTTGTGGGCACGAACAGGTTATAACTCCAGACTGTGTTTTCTTCACCCAGCTGTGCTGAATCACGAGGCCTGTGGCAGAACTAGACTTGGTAAAGCATGCTGCTTTTGTTATTGTGTCTGCTGAAAAGTTAGAGGCAAGCCAGGAGCGCATGCTGGTCAGGGGTCAGGGACATCTGCAGTGACCTTGTCTCCAAGTAAGGTGTCCTTAAGGTGAGGGACATGTTTGTCCCCGCTGTGAAGTGTTTTACTGATGGCCAGCTGGGGACATTTGGTTTGCTAGTGGCCACTTGACTGTCTGACAAGGGAAAAACTAGTGGATAGAGAGACTAAGTTTTGCTGTTCACCTGCCCAGCAGCAAGTGTCCCTTCCCCAAACCCTGGACTACTGAGGCCACTTCCAGACTCCAACAGGAACTTGGCTCTGAAAAGCTCACCCTGTGGTCCTGTGTCCAAGGACACACTTGCCGCCCCTCCTGGTGGAAGGTATAGTCTCCCTGTCCTCTGGTGCTGAGTGCTAGGCACTGGACTGAGCTGGGCTAGCTGGGAAGGTTAGGTCCACATGAATATGCACAGCACCTGCATCTGCAGGCTGAAGTGCTGGCCCCCCACCTTTGCAATTCTGGGCTCATAAGTCAAGGGAGTCTCTGTTTGGAGAGCCTCAGGGTACATGGCACAGAGCAGTCTGGCAGAGTGGCATGGGGCATGAGCTGGCACCTCTCTGTGCATCAGTTTCCCCACATGAGGCAGGTTTTGGTGGGCCTCATACTCCATGTGCATCAGCTCCCAAGTCCCTGCCTAGGACCCCAGCTAGAGCCTCACATGATCCTGGGGTGTCTTGTTCCCATGCAGTGTTTTGGAGGAAATGTGTGTGCATGCATGCACATATGTATAACAGACATATGCTTACACACACACACACTGGTTTGTCTTACCAGTGTAGCTCTCTGAAGTAGAGACAGCTTGTGAATGCCCCCACAGAAGGACAGTGTGTGTGACACCGAGGCCCCACCATGCCCGATGCACACAGCCTAATCCAATCTCTGCTTCTCACCCAGGTATTGGCAGACGCCGTCTCGCGCCTGGTCCTGGGTCAGTTCAGTGACCTGACAGACAACTTTTCCTCACCACATGCACGCAGAAAGGTGCTAGCCGGAGTCGTCATGACCACAGGTAAATGTGTGATCAGCTAGACCCTGCCTATGTCAGGTTGACGAAGGCAGCTGCCACCAGCCTGTAGAAGCTGGAACATGGCGGGAGCATGTGTCAGGTGCAGGTGTGCCCAGGTGCAGATGTGGATATGTGTGGGTGTGGGTGAGTGCAAGTGGGTGTGTGAGTGTGGGTCTGCCTGCATGAACCTTTGCCTTGGGCTGGGCTGTGGCTCAGGGGGAGACCAGATTCCACCCCAACACCAAAAGCAAACACTGCAGGCCTCTGTTCCCTGCATACCCCATTCCCTGAGTGCCCTCCCTGGGGAACCTGCTCTGTTCCGTGCTCAGGTCCACTCATCCCCCATCTTTGGCCAGCCCACTTGGATCTGGATGCTCCTGTCACTTGGGTCTGCCTCACTGTCACTGCTGGCCTTGCCTGATTGGTCCATGTTTCCTCTAGAGTGTTAGAGTGGAAGCAGCTGATAACATCTGCCCAGAGGTTCCCAGAGCCAGAGGGGCCCCAGAATCTTCCTCCACACCCCAGTGAGGATAGTCAGTAGCATCTTGTCATGACCCTGAGGGGGAGCTGCATCTCTGACCAGTGCATTGTTCTCCTTTAGGCAGAGCCAGGGCCAAGACCCCCTACAGAATTCTGTCCAGCCTCCAGGACAGCCGTTCACAGCATAGGCGCAGAGGGCACTGGAGGCTAGGGACAAATTTGGGCGGCCATATCACCCTCCCCTCAGGTGCTGCCCCTCTGTCCGGCACAGGGAGGTCTCAAGGCTGACATCCTTGGTGAGGTGCTGGGAGACACAACAGCTGTGTGAAGAGCAGTATGTCTGCCCATCTCTGGGTCCTGGCTAGGTCCCTGTGTCTAGCACCTGGTGTCCCTTGCCTGATCTTGGGCGCATTTCCATTCTGCTACCAGCCAAGCCGCTCACTGCCCTTGAAGCCACTTCCTAGCAAGGCTTAGACCCTTGTGCAGGAATGAGAGACAGCTGTGTTCCTTTTGTAGTCTCTCAGCCACTGCCAAAGAGGCTAGTCACCTATGGGAGCCTTTCTTATCTTCCTGTGACTCTGTGTTCACAGTCTAAACCTACCTTGGCATGTGTGCTCCTGGTGGTGACGGGGTGGGGTACAGTCTGTACTGTCCCCAGGGAATGGCTTGGGCTTGTCATCCTGTCTGCAGGGTGAAGACTGCACATGCACCTCTGGGCTGAGGTGGGATACAGAGAAGGAGGGTCCCAGCAGCCTGGATGGGCCTTGCTGCATGATCCTCCACTACTGCCATTTTCTCCCAGGAGTGTGATCACCTTAGGCCACTTCCAGATTTCCTTGCTCTCATAGCACTGGGGCTGGAACCCAGGGCTTCACGCACTCCAGGCAGGTGCCATCCCTGTGCATATCCAGCCCTAGCAGGTGTTGGCATCACCAGGCCAGTGGTCTGTCTCCAGAGTAACACTGCAGGTCCCAGGAGGAGATACTGCAGGCATGGACTTGCAAGTGACATCCAGGAAGCATGAGGATGAGCTCTACTGACTCCTGAGCATCCCATCACTGACAGCTCAGGCAGACAGGCAGCGTCGCTGTGAGTCACTGATGTTCTGTCTTCCAGGCACGGATGTCAAAGATGCCAAAGTGATCAGTGTTTCGACAGGGACAAAGTGTATCAATGGGGAGTACATGAGCGACCGTGGGCTGGCACTGAATGACTGCCATGCAGAGATCATCTCCCGGAGGTCTCTACTGAGGTTTCTCTACACCCAGCTGGAGCTCTACTTGACGTGAGTGCAGAGCAGCGAGCAGCGCAGCACCTGTAGGAAAGCACGCAAGCCTTCCTTGTGGCTGTCAGCACACCAGTGCTAGTGACTGTGTCATGACTCCAGGGAGGGCTCTGTCCTGCATGACATGCAGGTATAAACATACACATGTGTGCAGAGACCAGTAGGATTGTCACATGGCTATAGATTCCAGGTCTGCTTTAAGGCTGTGAGGTTTTGCTCTGTGCAGTGTGGGCACACATGGAGCTTCCTAAACTGCCCATGAAGTTTAGGGCAGAGCTAATCCAGTATTCACCTTTATTCTTTTTTTGGCAGCCCTAGATTGAACTGAGGCCCTTGCTCTAGGCCACAGCCCTATCCCTTTTATTTTGAGACAGGGGCTTACTACATTGCTCAGGCTGCCTTGAACTTTATATTCCCTGCCTCGGTCTCTTAAGTAGCTAGATTATAGGTGTGGTTCACCGCACAGTTGTCTGTGTAATGGCACTTCTCATACCTGCATTTCAGCTGTGCAGTCACCTGAGAAGAAGCAACCACTCCTTATTTGATGATGTGTCCATCTCTGAGTGGCACTGTTAGTTACCATAAACCTGACAGAATTCTAGGCCTGGCTTTCCTCTCTACTGCTGAAAATGCTGAGCTCTGAAAATCGTTCTAAACATGACATTCTAACTGTCCACAGAGTTAAGAGTCACTTGTCCAACTTTTCCTTGCAGTAGCAAAGATGACCAGAAAAGATCCATCTTTCAGAAGTCAGAGCGAGGCGGGTTCCGGCTAAAGGACACTGTTCAGTTCCACCTGTACATCAGCACCTCGCCCTGTGGTGATGCTAGGATCTTCTCCCCGCATGAGCCAGTGCTGGAAGGTACTACTGTGGGTGTGAGGGGAGGAAGGGGACACCTGCCTGATGCAATACCCTTTCAGTTTTTGTCATAAATTTCAGCCTTGGGTGTGAGTCTAATAGGATTCACTGTATGAGCATGGGTTCTTTCTTCCTAATTAATAGTTTCATTAGAAAATTTTAATGGGTACAAATTCCCGGATCTGGTAAAAGGGAAGAGAAAAATGCCAATTCTGCTTAACCTGTAGTGAGAGGGTGGTTTTAGATCAGGAGTTGTGTGCACACTTTGTTTCTTACTCAGGCAGATGGATGTGTCCTCCATGCTTCTGAGTTGTAGCCAGGGGGAGGGGGAAGTTGGGGTGGCTCTCCTGGGCAGCAGGCACTGAACAAAGCTGGACGCAGGGGCTGACACCTGCCTACCCTCTGCAGTGCACACCCTTGCTCCCACACTGAAGCATTGTTCACAGAGTATTTGCTTACATTATTTTCCTTGATTATAAAAGCAATATACAAAGATTTTATAATGTAATAAAGAAGATTAAAACCACCTATATCATATAACCCAGGACTAATTGCTATGGATGTTTTGTACTTCCTGTGAATTTATTTGCATCAATCTACTTCTATTTTTGAAATAAAATATAACCAACACCTGAGTATCCATTACCAAAGTTGGGAGATCTTAGCATCTATGATGTGTACCTCCTCCTGCTCATCAGTGATACAAATAATCCTTTCAATCACAACTGCTTCCCCTTCTCCCCAGCACTCAAAGAACATGCTCATGAATTTTGTTCAATTTATGTCCTTTCTGCTTCATTTTATAAATTCATATTTTGTGTATTTGTTTATTTGTGTACATATGTACTACAAATGTACATACATTTATGTAGTACATTATATATTTATATGTTATTGTTAGATACGCTTTTCCAATTGCTGAAACTAAGTAGATGGTTTGCTCCCTGTAGGTTCTGAACGCCCTGCTTTTCTCTTAGAACCAGCAGACAGACATCCAAATCGTAAAGCAAGGGGACAGCTGCGCACAAAAATAGAGTCCGGGGAGGGGACAATTCCAGTGCGCTCGAACGCCAGCATCCAGACTTGGGATGGCGTGCTACAGGGGGAGAGGCTGCTTACCATGTCCTGCAGTGACAAGATTGCCCGGTAAGGGTCCCAGCCTGGTGACCACCTCTGCCTCACAGGTCCTTCCTGCCCTTCTCAGAGACATTCTATCACTGTTTCCTAGGGTGTTTCCACTGTGCTCCAGCCAGGCTCCTCAGAGACACCTGGTGGGATAAGGAGACCTTGCCCAGGAGGCCCCATCTTCCCATGCCACCTCCTTCAGAACAAGGATCTCACTGGCATGTGGGTTAGACCAAAGGGTAGAATGTACCACAGGCTCGGACATCTAAAGCAAACACAAAAGATTTCCTCATCAACAAATCTCACTTGTGGGTATAGTTTTATCAGTCTCTGAGAGTTAGCATTGTGGCTGATGACACAGTAGGGATCGCATGAGTCTGTGATGTCCCTGTGCCCAAGTTCAGAGCACCTGTCAACCACCATTCTGTGCTGTGGGTTAGGTCTGGGCCAGACACAGAGCACCACACTTCAGAGAGTCTGTGCCTGGACATGCACTCTCTAGGGCCCGCATTCAGGTCGGGTTTTAGATGCCCCATTTCTTCAGATACTACAACAATTCCAGTAGCTTTCCTTTATTTTTGCATTTTGACTAGTCATCTATTTGAAAAAAGAAAGGCTGGCCAGATAGCTCAGTGGACTAAAGCACCTGCTTAGGTAGAGCGCAGAGGCCGGGGTTTGATCCCTGGCATACCATGCCAGCCCTGCCCCTGGGACGCACTGAGATGTCAGTTGAGACTGGGTGTGGTAGTGTGCACCTCTAATCCCAGCACTTGGGAGGCTGAAAAGCAGAGAATCACTACGAGTCTGATCTGTGTAGTGAGACCCTGAAGACCCTGTAGACCCTGACCTAAATACATTTTTTTTAAAAAGTAGAAGTTACATGAGCAAGTTGTTGAAGACGTAAGATCAAGTCCTTGCTCCTCAGGCTCCTCCCGAGGGTGTCCAGGGTAAGCAGCTGTGAGATGCTGTCGAGGGTGCTGAGAGTAACACATACACTTGTGCACAGCACATCTTAAGATCAAGGGTAGGAGATATCACTTGTTACACTCGAGCCCTAAGAGCCTCACACTTGTATCCTTTTAATTGTTTGCAAACCCTTTGTGTTGATTTCCTCTGAGGGGTCCTGTCAGCACTGGATTAACTGCACTACCTGTCCTCATTTCTTTGCATGGGTACAGGCTATGTAGCTCTTTTTTTTTTTTTTTTCAGAACCTGGGATTGAACTCAGGCCCTTGGGCTTGCCAGGGAAGCACATATTCCACTGAGCCATCTCCCCGGCCCCCAGGCTATGTAGCTCTTACATGAGGTGCTTGGGGCCAGACATGTTTCAGATTTGGGAGATTTTTGGACTTTGGAATATTTGCATAAACTTTACCAGAAGAGCATTCCTGTTCTGAAAATACTGAATCCAAAATGCTCCAGGATCTGGAACTCATCAGGGATGCTTGATTTGTCCCTTCTGGGGTGTCTTTACTCCCTCTGTGTCCTTCTGGTCCACTTCCCACCTGCATTTAAGTGACTTTGTGTGTATATGTTTGGAAGCACTCAATGGTGACATTCAGGGGTGTTAATGTATGTGTTCATCTTAGCAACAGTGTGGTCTTGGAGGCCCCTCATTTCTCCTGTTCTCACTCAGCCCTGTACTTCTGTTCACAAGAGACCCTGGGTTTCCTTCAACTCCCTCCTCCTGTAGTCCCAACCATCCTTATACATGGCTTATCCTGGTCTCTGAGGCTAGATCCAGGACTACACAAAGGGCTACACAAATGGCTTTGCAGAAGAATGTCAGACTGCTCCCCAAAATGGTCATGTCCTTGATCCCACACCAGCAGTGTGTTCAGTGAGTGTACCCTACATATTTTTAAATAGTAACTCATGGTTTTATGTTGTACTCCTGTTAAACTCTCTTTACTCCATTTGACCTCAACCCTTAGGCTATATAAATATAAAAATATATAGAATATACAAATGCTACCAGAAATTCCCAAGTCCCCTGTTATTTCTGGGGATGCTGAACATTTTCCTAGCTGATAGTGACCTTCCCTTGGCCACCTTCTCTGACATACCGGTTTTATGTCCTCTACTTCTTTATCTTTAGGCCATGTAGCTTTTTGTTCACAGCCTGCGGAGGCCTTTTCATAGCTGACATCACTCTAACCCCTAAGCTTTAGAAAACCCTATCTTCCCCTGGTCTTTTCCCCATGGGGTGATCTTCTCCCCCTGCTAAGGCTCATTTGATTCAACGCATGGGGTTTTATTTGTGGGTTGTCCATTGTTGGAATACACTGTTAAGATTCCAATGCTGGATTAGTCTGTTTTTCACAACTATAATGAAATGCCTGAGATGTTACTTTATAAAGAGGTTCACGTAGTACAGTTTTGAAAGCATTAAGTGAAAAGAGCATGGTGCACACTCTTATGAGGGCCACATCCCACTGGGGAGAAAAAGGGCAGCCAAACTGGCACAGTACCACTGGAATAGGACTGTGAGGTAGGGATGTGGCCTCTGCTGGACCATGTGTCATGAAAGAGGTGAGCCAGTGGTAGATGTTCTGTAGCAGCAGCTGTCTGCAGCCAGGACATGGCCCACAGCATACCAGATCCACATAGGCCAGAAGGGAAGAACAGTCCCTCCCGCTAGCACTGTGTCCCCCACTTAGGCAGGTTCTCTGACAGGACAGAAAGCCCAGGTGTGAAGTAAAACAGACAACTGATTGAGCGAGTTTCTAATTTGTTTTCCAAAGCCACGTACACCTAATTGAAAAGAAAAGCCATGGAGTTGGATTCAGAGAGTTATCCAGATTATGGCCTCACTACTCTCACTACTCTCTTTGGACTGGGTCCAAACATAATTTTTTTTTTTTTTTTTTTTAAAGAAGGAGAGGTTTATTTTGGTTCACAGTTTGTAGAAAGTTTAGTCCACTCTCAGCTGCCCTCCAGGGCAGGGTAGAACTTGGCATGGTGGCAGTAAACAGAGAGAAATAAATAGAAGGAAAAAGGAGTTGTACCCATACAGGTCCTGCCTCTAGTGACCACATCCTCCATCCAGGCTTTACCTCCCAACATCACATTTGACTGTAAATTTATTGATGAGCTGATCTATTGATGAGCATCATGCTTTGATGATCTAATCACATTTCAAAAGCTCCAGTTACAAGTACATGACATACAGGTCCAGCAAGATAGGTCACGGGACTATGTGGCTGCATAGGCAAGTGCAGGCACCAGGGTTCTGGCACCACATGCCATGCCAGTCCTGACCGCAGATGTACTGAGCCGACAGCTGAGTGCAAGCATGGTGGTGCATGCCTGTAACCCCAGCACTGGGTAGGCTGAAAACAGGAGGATCACTATGAATCTAGGATGCATAGTGAGACACTGTACAAAATACATTAAAAAGTACATGATATATTACCAGAAAAATAGGAGCACAAAATTTTTTAAAAATAATGGATTTTTCAAGTGAAATTTATATGGATTGTTCATTTGATATGGATTCAAGTGAATCCATGGCCTCACTACTCTCACTACTCTCTTTGGACTG